CCCGGCGGGGTTTACCCCCCGCCAGCAACCAAGCCCCACGCAGCCGCTCGCTCGATGGGGACGGGGAGGAGAACGGGAGGAAAAGCAAAGCCTGTGGGTTGGGAGCAGAACAGGTTAATAACTGAAATAAAATCTAACCGTCATGAAAAGGGAGATAACAAAGGGAGAGAGAGGAATAAACCCCCAGACAGACAAGTGATGCACAACGCAGTTGCTCACCCTCCGCTGACCGATGCCCAGCCCGACCCCGAGCAGCAGTCGACTCTTCCCGGCCAACCCCCCCAGTTTCTGTACTGGCCGTGCCGTGCTATGGTATGGAATATCCCTTTGGGCGGTTGGGGTCATCTGTACTGGCTGTGCCTCTCCCAGCTTCTTGCCCACCACAGCCCACTCTGCTGGGGGGCAGAGTAGGAAAGGGAGAAAGTGTTCGACTTCGGGTAAGCACCACTGAGCAACAACTACAACACCCGGGTGTTATCAACGTGATTCTCACCCTAAATCGAAGCCGCAGCACCGTACTGGCTACTAGAAAGAAAATTAATTTTATTCCAGCCAAAAGCAGGACAGTATCCACCCCTTATTCTATACCATTTACATCATGCCCAGGTCCCACTCTTGCCAGTACATCCCAGTTAACCACCATCACCTTTCCTGTCTTTTGCTATATACCCACAGGTATCATTCCTGCAGTCTATGGGCCACCCCTTGAGTTCATTTAGTCCGTGACTTTGGGCTCCGTCTGTCACAACAGTCTTTCAGAGCAGGACAGACGGTGTGTGATGTTGGAGTGTTGCACGCTGAAGCCAGTTCTGATTCCACCACCACTGTGCTTGTCCAGTTTCATCAAAGTTCATTCTTCATTCCTCTGGGGGATTTTTACTGTAAAAGCCTCCATATGGCATAGAGCCACCATAGAAGGGATGACAGACGGTGTTATATAGCAATTAACATCATCCTGGTTAATTCCTTGTCTATTCACACCCAAAATCAAATCTCCTTGAGGCACACATCGGACTTCCCCATCCTCCTGCATCACACGCCAAGGGTACCCTGGTCCTTGAGCGAAAGCCACCCCACGGATGGGTTTGCCTTTGCCCGAGGCAGGAATAACCCAGCCTGTTTTCCCCAGTGTGTTCTTTATGGGCACTACAGGGATTTTATCCCCTTCTACAGTACATCAAAGTTCTGACTGGGCAGGGCCAGCTCGAGGGACAGATCCTCCAGTGTTCACTAACCAGGTGACCTTTGCTAAATGCGTATCCCAAAGTTTGAAGGTCCCACCACCCGTCGCTCTCAGCATAGTCTTTCACAGTCCATGGTATCGCTCGATTTTCCAGGAGGCTGAGGCATGACAGGGGATGTGATGTACCCACTCAGTGCCACGCTCTTTGGTCCAGGGGTCTGTGAGCTTGTTTCAGAAATGAATCCCGTGGTCTGACTCAGTTCTTTCGGGGGTGTCATGCCGCCAGAAGACTTGCTTTTCAAGGCCCAGGATCGTGTTCTGGGCGGTGGTATGGGGCACGGGATAGATTTCCAGCCATCCGGTGGTCGCTTCCACCACCGTAAGCACGTGCTGTTTGCCTCGGCAGGTTTGCAGGAGCACGATACAGTGGATCTGCCAGGCCTCCCCCTGTTTGTATTTCAGCTGTCGCCCTCCATAACACACAGGCTTTAACCGCTTGGCTTGCTTAATTGCAGCGCACGTTTCCCATTCGTGGATGACCTGGGCAATGGCGTCCATGGTTAAGTGCACCCCTTGATCATGAGCCCATCTATGTGTCGTGTCTCTTCCCTGATGGCCTGAAGTGTCATGGGCCCACTAGCAATAAATAGTTCACCCTTACAGTGCCAATCCAGATCCACCTGAGCCACTTCAACCTTAGCAGCCTCGCCTACTTGTTGGTCGTTTCGATGTTCTTCAGTGGTCCAACTCTTGGGTACATGAGCATCTACATGACGTACCTTCACAACCAGGTTCTCCACCCGGGCAGCAATACCTTGCCCCAGCGCAGCAGCCCAGATGGGTTTGCCTCCACGCTGCCAATTGCTCTGCTTCCATCGCTGCAACCACCCCCACAGGGCATTTGCCACCATCCAGGAGTCAGTGTCGAGATAAAGTTCAGTAACATCTAAAGCTGGCTGGATAGCTTTCACCTCTACAAACCAACTCAATTCACCTTCTCCTCCTGCAGTTTCTGCAACTCGTCAGAGGGGACTCCAAAACAGCCACCTTCCATCTCCAATGCCTTCCCACCCTATGGCAGGAGCCATCAGTAAACAAGGCATATCGCTTCTCATTTTCTGGTAATTTATTATACAACGGGGTGATTGTTTCTCCTTGCAATTCCCATACCCACGCCTCTAGGGTCGAGGTAGATTTTCCATCCCGCTTCCTCGTGTCCTCTCCGTGGTCCCGCCGGTAAAACCACAGGGTACCCTGTGGTGCGTCCCCTCGATAGCCTCTGTCTTGTGCACAAGAACACTTACTGTTAATAGCCGAGGTCCGTACAGGGGGGAGTAGGATCTATCCTCTTGGAGTTGCTGGAACTCCTGGGATAGTTTCTCCACAGCCGAGACGAGAGAGGAAGAGAGACTTTCTTCATATTGCCGGAGTTGGCGAGCCACGTCATCCACCATCGGTGCCTCTTCGTCTCTCCGGGTCAATACTGCCAACGAGTTGGCATACGACGACGGCGCACTCGACAAGTTCCCACCGCATCGGTGGTCTGCACCGAACTTCATCTGGATCTGTGGGTGACTGGGCATTGTTCGGGTCATAATAAACCACCTCGAGCACGGCTAATTCCCTCCGGTACTGGATACCCCGCTCCATGGCCGTCCGCTTGCCTGGGTGACATAGAACACCTTCCTTGAAGGGAGACCTTTCCTTCACGCTCGACGGGAGTCACCTCCAGAGGCTGAGGACTCGTGTCCCTTTTCCCATCCCCTTGTCAATGCCCCCTTCCCTAGAAAGCGACCCCAGCCGCTCGGCTTCCCTACCCTCTCATTCCAGGCTACCGGCCGCATCATCCCAGCATCGGAGCAGCCGGGTGACAATGTGCTCGCCTGGACGACGGCTGAAATCTTTTCCCATCTCCCGCAGCTCACTCAGGGATAGGGGTTGAGTGGTTCCCTCTTGTTCTGCTTCTTCCTCCTGTTCCCGTTCCTGGCCCTGCTTCGGCCTCCTTGACCAAGTGAGCTGCCTGTTGTGTCCACTTCTTCTCCTGCATAGGGGCGATGGACACCGGCATGGGCTGGTTGTCCGGTTCAGCCGCATCACCCATCGCTGGGGTCTGAGTAGCCACAGTCCTTGCTGCCAGGATTTCAGTAGCCACAGTGCTTGTCACGGGGGTTGGAGTAGCTGCAGTGAGTGTCGCTGGGGTCGGAGTAGCCACAAACAGTTGCTTAACCTTAAGATCTGAACCCCATTCAGGGTTCCTAACAATAGGATCATGATGGTTTCAACATGCCAAGGAAATTAAAAATTTTCAAAATTCTCAAGTGCTGTTGTAATTAGCCCGGTGGAGAAGGGGAAGATACGCAAAGATGTCTCCTCGATAAATTGGCTGAGAAAAGTAAAAGGTGTGATTATTAATAGTTTCCAACAGATGGCTCCCAAAGAACGGAGGTGATGGCAATGCTGAGTACAAACACCAATCTACTTCCTCGACCAGCAATTCTGTCATATCGTAAACCAGCATTACAAAGCACCACAAAATGGTGACCTTAGCCCAGGCCCAGAGATAATAAACAGCACAACAGGGAGCACGTACTGTGAGTGAAGTGTTACTCAACGCAACTCTGAGAACCAGCGCAACTCTGAAGCAAATAAATCAACATTGTGATCAGCAACTATTAAATTAATATAATGAATGCTTATAACAAATTTGCTTTAACACGCTCTGGTCAGATCTGCCAGCCCTTTGTGCCCCATGCTAGGCCCCGAAAGGGGCTGTGGTGTTTAACCCCAGCCAGCAGCTAGGTACCACACAGCCGCTCGCTCACTCCTCACCCCCTCACCCCGGTGGGATGGGGAGGAGAATTGGAAAAGGGTAAAACCTGTGCCTTGAGATAAGAACAGTGTAATAAGGATACAGGCTGGATCGATGGGCCGAGGCCAACTGTATGAGCTTCAACAAGGCCAAGTGCCGGGTCCTGCACTTGGGTCACAACAACCCCATGCAATGCTACAGGCTTGGGGACGAGTGGCTGGAAAACTGCCC